AAAAATTAAATCCAACCAAACCAAACTCCTGGTAGCCAAAATCAAATGTAAACATATCCTTTTTTTTATTTTTTTTTTTTTTTTTAAAGTAATGTTGCTCTGCCTTTTTTTTTTCCTAAGTCTAAATACAGTAGCTCTTTTTTGCCATTTAGTCATGCTTTAGCAAAAATGTTCTTCTAAAGAACATTTAAAATAAAGTTTCTTATAGTGAAATAAAGTTTTTGTTTCATTTGGGGTTGAAAATCAGACATTTGATTTCTCCCAGGCATGCTAAGGCTAGAGTGAAACACATCACACAGCTCAAGGAGGGTTGGAACTGACTGCTTGGTCTTCTAGCTCCCAACTGTCTAGGAGATGCTGTTAGTGACTCCCAGGTCCTTGCCAGGAAGAATAAAACTCCTCTATGCTGACAGCCACAGTTTTGATGCTGACAAACTACTTTACACTCCAACATAAGCTCAGATATTTATGAAGTTTCTTTATTGGAAGTCAAGATTCCTAATTTTTTAAATTACATAAGCAGGATTCCAGCAAGCCCTTTAATCCTGCTCTTTCTTCTTCTGATGGAACAGCAAAGAAACCAGTTTCAGCCCAGGGCATCTCTGCCCTGGCAGATAAATGCATCTGCTCAAAAACACTGAGTGCCACCAGCTTTGCCTGTCAGATGCCATCATCCATCACTTGCTAACCAGCCCCCAAGTCTCAGCTGCCAACCACGCAGCGAGAAAGCAAACAACAAGCATCCTCCTGTGCCACACCTGGGGGTTCAAACCTGAACCAGGGACAATGCCAGGCTTTGAAAGTGCCACAGCCATGGGTGCTGCCAGCCCGGGGGTGTAACATGATGCCTAAGTCTGGAGGGAACCCACAACATTCTATCAAATCATTTTGAAGAACTTCAGAGGCACTTTTCATCTGCAGCCACAAGGCTGCCAACTTGCCAACCACCATCCCTGGGCACCGAGCTCAGGCACAAGAAAAGATGAAGGCTGTGCTGACTAAATCCCTGCCACCAGGGTAAATATTTATTAGCAGTTTATGGTAACCCAGTGATGTGCTTAGCACTTGAGAGGCTTTTAGGGCTGGTACCTGCTTTCTGGAAAACTCTTAGGTTGAAGCATCATCCCAGTGTGCAGGGGTAAATCTGAGCCTGGCACAGATGCCTGATGAATGGCAGCAGAGCTGTCACACTGGAGCAGGGTGGCATCAGAGAGGCAACCTGGGGTGGTCCAGCCAAATGGGCACCTGGGATTCAGGAAATCCTCTGGCTGCCTGGAACTCTGTTTTGCCAATTACTGGGAGCTGGTACTTTGCTGTGCTCCAAGCCTGGGATGAGAATGGGCAAAGGGGAGGAGAGGGATGCACTGGCTCACTTAGCTCACCTGTGCCACTGAGGAGATCTGGACCTCAAGCAAGTCCTCAGGCAGGAGCAAGTGCTGCTGGGGTTGGTGTGTGCAGGCAGGCCTGGGGCAGCTGGATTCCCACTCCACAGCACTGATACCATAGCTATCTGCACCCAAACCTGCCTGTACCCAACCTGCCTGCACCCAACCTGCCAGCACCCAAACCTGCCTGCACCCAAACCTGCCTGCAGCTCATGGCACAAGCCTGCTGCCCAACCTGCACCCTTCAGCCCTCTGAACACCCTTCAGCCCATGGCTGCCACTGGCAGAAGCCAACAAGATGACAAAGAAGGCCCAGACAGGAGGCAAGAACACTGTGTCTGACACCAAAGGAAGGTGAAGGTCTGTGAGCTCTGGAGCCCTGTCTCAGCATCTGGCCGAGGAGAACTGGGCAGAACTGGGCAGTGTGTGCTGCCCTTTCCGGCAGGGAAGCCCTGGGTGCCATAACCACTAGATGGTGCTTTGTTGACATAACATTGTCAGAAACCTCTTCCATCCACTCCGGAAGGCAGAGGCAGCTGGAGAGATACAGACTGCAACTTTGCTGCCTGGCTGTGGAGCTGTTTCTGCTGTGCAGCAGGGCCAGGGCTGCCCTTTCCTTTGAATTAGGAGGCTGCAACCTGCCCTGCTGAGCCAGGGGAAGAGATACCTTGCTGCAAACCTCCTCCTCTGCCTTCTCCCAGTCCCACCACTCAGGCTGCTGCTGGTCAGCAGGGCACAACAGCTCACCTAACCACCAGTGAGTTTTCCATCATCATGCAAATGTTTTCTATCTCTAGTGAGGCAATATTTTATATTCAAACAGTGAGAATCTCAGCCCTGGATTTTGCTTCTCCTGCTTTATTTTCAGTTCCCTCAGTTCAAAGACAGACTGATCTGTATGATGCAATACTGAGCTGTATGATATGATACTGGTCTGTATGATAAGGTGCTGCAGCTTCCATGCACAGACATGAGGCTAAAGTGGCTCAAAAACTAGTAAGGGGACATGCCTGTCCTCTAATCCTCTCTCATGTTGCTCAGAATAACTAATGAAATCAGAATTTGTGTGGTTTTTTTTTTGAAAAACAGAAATCTTAGTCTTTTCAGTAAAAGCCTCTAAACTAGATGCCTCTTCTTGATGTTACTGCATGATGCAGCTTTGAAGGGGAATCTGCAGACAGCTCAGTATGGGGGAGAAAAATCCTTTTTTCCTGGCTTTTGCAAAATATTTCCAGCTTCTCTGCTAAGCTGGTAACTGCCCACTGTGATTTGTGCTTGTGGTTTTCCCTGTGCTGCTGTTCAGTGAGCCATGCAGACCTGGTAAGAGGTTACCCTCTAAGTCCTGGTGTTCAGGTCATAGAAAAAAGCCCTGTGATCTATCAGGATTCAAGCTCTCCTCTTGCTGATACCAGCAGCTCCTGCACCTTAAGTGCTGACCTAAAAAAGCTACAATTGCTTACTCTGAGTTTTCCCTGAATGGCTAATGCCAGATGCCAGCCAGTGAATGAAATACATTCTGCAGACAGCAAAGAGGTTTAATATATAGCATTAGTGGGAGTCCTGGCCTTAAAAATAGATTAAGTCACAGAAAAATGTGTTTAAACAGACTTAAATTTATTCTCTGGCACATAGGTATTTGCTGATTTTATGGTATTGCTACTGGCAGCTTCTTCAAGGAGGGAGTGGGCTGGGATAATGCAGCCTGGTACAGGTGGGGGCTGCCATGGAGCTGTGGGAGGAGGAGGAAGAAGAAAGCTCTAGGACTGTGTTAGCAGAAAATGCTGCTAGTCACACTGGCTTTGTCTAAAAAGCAAGAGGTGCCAGAGAGTAAAATGGACCAGTTCTAGAAGAACAGGAATCTAATCACATAGTAGCACCTTGCTGGCTTTTTTTCTGGCTGATTGCTGGACACAGACATGCAGGGAGTTTGCTGCCCAGTGCTGGGAGCTGGAGGGAAGCTCAGAGACCTCCTCTGCCTTCCTCACTCTTCACATCTGAAACACAGATGTGATTTAAAGCAAATATTACAACCTCTTTTGCTGTTTAAAGATGAACGTTTAATAATATTGATGAATATTTTAAAATGCTGCAATGGGGCTGGATGGCCTGGTCTGGAGCCCCAGAGGCTCAGTTTCTTTGGAAGCAGAGAGTCAGCCAAGACAGGCACCAACACCTCTGCTTTCAGGGAGAGCTGTGGGTTACCAAGTACAGAGCTTTTGCCTCAGGGCCACAGCTGCTATTAGCTGCAGGGACCTACAGTTTCTTCACTTAGGGCTGTAGTTCTACAGCCTTCAGTCTGTGATGTTCAGTGACACTCTGGCATCCTCTGAAAGCTCTCCTGTATGCCCAGAACAAGATGGACAGGTCCCTGTGAGATGCAGTATCTCAGAAGATGTGGTGTGAATATCGCTGAACTGGGTGCCTCACACAGGTAAGGTGAGATGACCAACACCTCACCTTGCAGGCTTCCCTTGGTTCATCTACCCACTCCTGGAGCTCTGAAGGGCCCTGGTGGTACCAGGGCTGAGAGCACACAGTGCCACAGGCTTACCCTTACCCAGGCACCCATGTGCAGTCAGTGTGTTCTCTGCCCAGAGAGAGGATCTTTGGGTGCTACCACACCTGATCAGTTCCACATTTTCTAGGGAAGTGCATTGATGGGCAGAACCCTTTTTTGGTTTTGGTAGGAATGGCCTGCTAGCACACCCAAACACCTCCAAGCATAACCTGGCATGTGGTCACCATCAGACAAAACCCTGCAGGGGATGGTGAAGACCTTTTCCATAGTCCCCATCCTTGCATGGAAGGAACTGCTCACCAAGTCTGTGATGGACAGGAGAGCAAAGGTGCCAAAGATGATGATGGAGAGCACCCACAGCACCTATCTGGTGACAGAAGTGGGCACTGCTGGGCCATGGCTGCTTACAGCAGAAGCTCAGAGCCTTGCACAGACCAGGGACCAGAACCATGGAAGCTCCTGGCACAATGTGGGCCTCCAGAAGCCCTCTGCAAAGTGATGGTGGTGGCTGTTGGAGTAGGGAAATGGTCACCCAGGTTGCTTCCAGAGCAGCTAAAAGCTCCCTGTGGTGTATAGTACACAAACTCCCAGGCTGGTAAAGGAGGTAAGGAGGTTACTGACTGCTGGTAAAGGAGGCAAGGAGGCTACTAACTGCTGGTAAAGGAAGCAAGGAGGTTGCTAACTGCTGGTAAAGGAGGCAAGGAGGTTACTCACCGCTCGAACACGTTTCAGGCGCTCCTCCAATTTCTCCTCTGCTTCACGTTCCTTCTGTACTTCCTCCAAACGATTGATCAGCTCTGCAGCAAACTTCTCTGGTTCAACGTGGATATCCTTTGGCATTCGGTACGTACGCTGGAGGGAAAACACACCAGGGGTTAACAAAAGATGCATGAAAAAGCAGCTGTTTCTTTTGGAGGTTCTCCTGGCTGGAAGCGCCAGTCGTTCCAGTGGGGAGCTGAGAAAGGACAGGCTGGCAGACACAAGAGGTGCAGCCTGGGACTGGTGGGCTGGAGGCTGAGCCACCACCATGAGTTCCCCAGCTCCACACACCAGCCCAGGTAAAGGAAAGGTTTTTTTGAGGCACAATTCAGCAAGCTCTTTAGGCACCAAAGTCCTCCTTGGGAGGGATGTGCTCATTTTCCTGCCAGCGTACACACGGTCAGCAGGGAGACCCTGCTCTGAAAGGCTGGAGAAGGACATACAGACAAACCTCTCAAAAGTCATGCTTATGGCAGTGATGTTTTCACCTTGCCAGAAAGGAGACCTCTTAAGCACACTTATTCAGCTTTCTCCAGGTGGATCAGGTCAATCCCTGCAAACACACCCCACGGCTGCAGAAAGGAGACAGAACCCTGTCAGCTCTGAGACACCTTCTGCCCTCAGCCCAGACACAGGAGGCCACAGCTCCCACAAAGCATCCTCTCTTACTAGAGGATCCTGCAGGATTGCATCTTGGCTCTTCAGAGCCATACCATGATCCCCTGCTTGCTTTATCAGCACAACAACCTCACAAGCACACAGATAGCACTTTTCTGCTTGCTTGGGGTGAAGAAATCACCATTTACCAGAGTTCAAGGGCATTCTTCATTCCTTACACGGAGTTACATTGTCCCTAAATTCCTGAGCTCTGGGATAATAAGTCTGTGTAGATTGACAACTCCTGGTTTTTCCCCTCATTTTTTATCCCTTCTGCATTATTTTGTTAAAATAGTAGGAAAAATTAAAATACAGAAGAGATAAAAAATTAATCTGGAAGAAAAACGTATGGAAAATTCAACAGTACAAAACACCTGCATTCAAATATTTCAATACTGACTTGAGAGAAATATACACTCTACAGGACCAGAGATAAAATTAAATGTGAAGACTTGAGATAATTCATCAAGAACAAATGCAGCACCAGAAGCATCCATTGAGTTGTAATCTTTAAAGGAGGATTAGAGACCACCCGAATTTACCCTGTACCAGCCAAGAGATCAGTGCAGGAGACTAAAATAATGCTTTGCCTCCAAACCTGACAAAAGCATCCAAATCTTACTGGTTTTCTCTCTGCCAGCTCCTGAGTGGAAGACAGGGGAAGGAAAACACGGACAGTAAGTATCCTCTTGCTGGCTCTGAGGAGCTGAAGACCTCTTTTATGACACCCAAGTTGGGTTGCAGAGGTCTCAGTTAGAGCATTGTTTTGTTTGCTGACCCTGCCAGCAACCCCCCCTTTCAGTGCTCACTGCCTTTGCCTCCTCTGCCCTGCTGGATGGGGCTGGGCTACAGAGTCCCTGGGGATGTCTGTGGACACAATGTGGCTCTGCAGGCAGGACTGCCTGCTCCAGCTCTCTGTGACAAGCAGAAGGACTGACAGCTCCACCTGAAGCTGTCCCAGGCAGGACTGACCCATCCAAGCTGGGATCAAACCCAAACCAACCACCCTCTCCTGGCTCGGGGAGCCTGAGTGTAGCAGGAACCCCAAAGCTCCACCATCCATCCCATGAGGCAGCCACCACAGTGGCTTCCATGGAGAAGCAGAACCAGGGAAGATCTCCCCTTTATGTTCACAGTTGTTGAGGCAATGCAGCAGCTCTAAGTCCCTCCCCAGCCCCCTGTGCAAAGGCTGATGTTTGCTCACCTGTGTGTTCAAGTCCTGCCCAAATAAGGTGGCTCCCACCAGGCCCAGCAAGGCTTGAGGACCACAGCTCCCTCTCTAATGGGGATCTGAGGACATTCAGAGCCACTGTTGTATCCAGGGAACTTGAGACAAGCCTTTTACAACTAGCATTTCAGCATGTTTATCCACAGCCTCTCACTGGAGGTGACTGCAGCTTGACTACAGAAATGAAACTGAACCCAAGAATCTTCAGAATTAACTCGTCTTCCTCTCTGATAAACCACTGCATCTGCAAACCCCACTGCCCTGTCCTTAGGGCTCTCCACTCAGCGCAGCTGCTTGCAGAAGTCCTCAGCAGCCAGTTCCAGGGTGCCAGATGCAGAGGAAGCCATCCCTGCAAGGCTCCCCTGACCACCCAAGTTCAATGCAACTGAAACAAACCTCACTTCACCTCATGGACACCAGTTGCATTTGCCCCACATTGTCCTGCTGGGTACCTGTAATGGTGACCCACAGAAAGCTGGCAAGCAGGAGGGTGCTTGGACTATCACCATGGGTCTGACTGTATTCCTAGATCAATGGATGAGCTACACAGACCTCCCCCAAACTACCAGGATTGTGGAATAATGAATGCAAATTCCCCTGTGCTGAAACAACACAGACAACTCCTGAGGGCTCTCACCATCTCCCTGGACAGCCCACATGGATTGCACTGACCTGGTTCAAAAAGCTCAAGACAACAAAGTGTTTGAAAGTCTTATGGAATGACAGGCCTGACTTTGGAAGGGAGACATACTCCATCATAAACCAGCCAGGCTGAGTCTGTTGCCTGGAGGAGGATCCTTCAGGACTTCAGGATTTTCAACCTGTCCCTGTCTTCCTGTGGGCATCCAGAGCCCTACCAAGGGAGCTCTAAGTAAGCTTTATTGTTCTGGAAGCAGAACAGCTCCAAAAGGGTTTGTTCTAAGTAAAGGGTGTAGAACTCTTGAGAACTGCCTGGTTTTGGAGGATCCAGCCCTCCAGTCTGGACCAGAACGAGACCTCTGGCCAATCTGGATTAACAATTCAGAAAGAAACTGCTCCATTTTAAAGAGCAGTTTCAGCTACAGCTGGTTTATCTAACGCTTTATTTAATTTGTTACCCACATTTATTTAATGCCACTAGTTCAGACAGGTCTGTCCAGAACCAACCCCAGCTGAGCTGGGGAGGTTGCAGAGAACAATGGATGGGAAGCTGAATGCCAGATGGGTTGGCAAGAAAGAAATTGCTTAAACTGGTCTAGATGGAGCAATCTTTCCTAGTGACAGCTGTGAGGAAGGATTTCTTGAGGTATCTATCTGTCACCAGAACATTGTCCTCTGTTCTTGACAAGCAAAGTGTCTGAAGCTCTGGTACCTTCAGGAAGAAGCAGCTTGCTAAGAACATGCAAGATACACAAGCTCTCCATGCTATCATGTTTTCTCCTTCTTTTCTTGGAGTCAATGGAGGAGGAGTTGCATGGACTTGGCTCCATGAGACAGATGCAAGTCTTGGGTTTTGCTTGCTCTTTCCTTCCTTGGTACTCCAAGTCTCTGCTTGAAGCCAAAAGAGACACAAACCAGAAGAAAAGCAACACTCACCCACCGTGTAATGGGTTCCTGTGAGAGGCACCAAATGAAGGTTTTGTCACTTGCTAGAGACCTTCACCCACAGCATTCCTGGGCAGAGCATCATGTCATCAAACACACCTTTTCCTAACTTAGAGCATTGGTGAGTGTGCCATTGTGAAGTTGCAGAACACAGCCACCATGCACCAAGTTCTCCTGCAGCACTGCAGGGCATCCTACATAACCAGCACATGCCTTTGTCATCTGGAAGCAGCACGGCTGGTGAACCCAGCAGGCAGGCTCCTATGAACATATCATCATGGCAGTTTATAGCTTCTGGACCTAACTAGAAGTGCTGCTATTAAAAGCTATAGAAGCTCTTTCAGAATTCTGTGTAATAGCCCCATAACTCATTTGTAAGGGAACGGTGACGTCTCTAAAGGACTTCTGAAATGACTTTTCAGAAGGAGAAGGTTCTCTGCTATCACTAGGAAAACATGCCATGCATTCTGCAAGCACTATCAGTGTGGACTCTGGCTATGCAGGTGAGATATGAGTCCATAAAGACCTTCACTCAAAGGCTGCTATTTAGTCATGGCTGCACGTTCAGAAGCTCCCTAACCACCAGGTCCAGGGGGCTGATGGAACCTGCTTTAGCTACGGGCTGTGAGGTAGCCTAACCACCAGCTTTGGAAAGCAACACTTGAAGCAACATTTGCATGGCTCCTTGCTAATTGGAGAAGTTTTAATTCAAGAAGCGTGCAGTTAGAGGTGATTTTAAAAGACTAACTTTATAACATTTCACACTGGTGTTGTCAAAACACATTGTCTAATTACCTTCTCCTTTCTTGGCTGATTGATAAGCCAGGGCAGAGCAGTGACTCTCTGAAGTCGATGCCAATTCTGTGTCAGTAATTGGCTGGCAGGAGGTGCCAGCGTGTCTGAACTAAACTTTTATTCCCTGGAGAAAGACTAGAAGTAACTCAACTTCTCAGTCCTGTGCACCCCTATAAATATGCACCAAGGTGCCTTTTTCCCTGGGACTTAAAATTGCAGTGCAGAATCTAATGGGAACAGTGGCTGTTTCACAGAAAAGTCCTTGTGAAGTGTCTGTGTCTAGTTTAGGAGGAATATGTAATTCTACAAGACTGTGTAGATAAGTAGGAGAATATAAAAATTTATAAGCAGCAGGTGGCCAATTTAAACCTTGTTTTCCCACCCCCCTTTTTTCAACTGGTTTCCAAAAAGGTCGATAAAATTTAATGCTAAGTAAAACTAATTAGCCTGCAAGGAACTGCTGCTGGAATGACACTTATTCAGTTCAACAAAAGAAATGTTTGGCAGATGGAAGTTCGTTAAAGCAGAGCTCACTATACATATTTAATGCTCCATACTTTGGGTTTATAACCTGCAGTTCATCAAGGCATTGCCAGTGCACACAATCAACAGAAAAGCCACGATTATTTTTATCCAAAAGGTAAAGCCACTGACAAGCTTTGAAGTCAGAGAATATTCCCTCGGTAGTTCCCACTGTTGGGGACCAGCAACAACAACAACAACAACAAAAAAATAAAGGCCAAGCTTTCAAACTTCAACCCTAACAAAGCCATGCTTACAGTAAAAACGGCACCAAGTGAAAGAAAAAGGCACCCAGCCAGTCTTTTCAACAGCGACCACACTGGGAAAGCAACTGCATGAAAAGAGAGGTGACTGAACAAGGATGGTGAGTGAGCGTCCACAGCCTGGGCTTTTATTGTCAACCCAGTGATCAAAGACCAGGAGACCCTCTTAAATCTAAGGAAAATAATCTAATTTAAAAGGCAAAACAAAGAGCGGTGGTTTTGGGTTTTGGTTTGGTTTGTTTTTTTGCTTTTAAATCAGATGAAAACAAGGGTGTATTTCTGCTGGTATTGTGCTGCTTTGAGCAGGCAGGATGAGAACAGCTGCCTCCAGTTTGAAGGCACTTCTGGAAAAAAGCAGATGGAGGGCTTTTTTTTTTTTTTTTCCTTCCCCATTTGATTTGTGCTGGAGTCCAGCTGTCCAAAGGGGAAAGAAGCACCTTTATTCCCTGCTAGATATTAAATGTCACCTGTAACTGCTCACAGAAAGAAAGTAATAATAAGCAGAGCTGCAGATGGTGCTGCAGAGCCCTAGCAGGTATGTTCATCTTCCAAAGCCGTTTGCTTACCTGAAGCAACCAGGGAGACAGTGTCAGACAAATTAAATACTTATGCCTGCACCTTCTTTGCTCTCCTGCCTCACACCCCCAGGCAGGCTTTGCCGAGTGCCTGGGAACAGGTCACAGCTCCTTTGGCTGCCCAGTGCAGAAATACTGCTCGGGACAGTTGTGTTTCTTCTCAGCTGACCTTGGCTGAGAGCTACATCAGCCTCCATGTCCCATGGCCTCCTGCACCTTCCACAAACACCTCCAGCTCACCCAAGGGCACTTAAACTGCATGCAGGGAGATGCCAGCCAGCTCTTCCCTTCTCCAGGAGAAACAATTGTCTACTGACTGAACAGTTAAGAAAAAATTAGACATATTGGGCAGCCCAGGATGATGAATTTGGCAGAAGACTAGCAAGCCCTTTCCTAGGATGGTGTATTTCCATCTTAAAACATCTCCAAATGAACCCAATACTAAATGAGGGGTTAAACTTGAGCAAGCAGAGCAACTCTACACTAAGATCTCACATATTTTGCATATTTACCTCTGGGGAAGGAGACAGTGCTACTTACAGGAATGTGAGGTAGTGGCACACGTCCATTTGCTTTGGCACTTTCTTGCATCTCTCTGCGATGCTGCTTTCGGAGTCTGTAGGGTGGGATCCCATCTCTGCTGGAACAAAACAACAGGCCACGCTTTAGCTCCTCTCATACATCACATTCCTCTCAGCCCCCCCAGCAAAGGTAGGAAACCCCTTTACTCCTGAGAAAGGCTTTGCATGCCCAGGGCCAGTGCAGCAGAGTAAGAGGAATCCGTGCAGGGAACAATGCTTGCCCAGGTGCCCCCAGACCTGGAACACTCTGGCATTGGGTGCTGGGGGGACTCACAGGGCATCCACTGGAACAGAGCAGAGCAGGGCTCTGGCGACCGCTGCCCTAGGCAGAGGGCAGGGAGAAGGACTTGGACCATATCCTGGTACCTTTTATAGTTGGTTGCTTTCTACAAAAGAGCCTGTAATGTACACAGCAAACCACAGCACAGGAGAGGAGGGGGAGGAGGAGTGGGAGCTCAGTGAGCATCTACAGTGAGGGGAACTTGGTCAGGGAACAAGGTATATATTTTTAAGAGAGCGTGACAACTTCTCAAATGGCTTATCAAAGTGAAGGGGTTGGCTCCACTGCTCTTAAGCAGGTCTCTAGCTCAGTCTGGAATTACAGGCCTGATCCTGGAGGTACTTTGTGGAGTAAGAGGACAAGGTTAGGGAGGGATGTCATGGGCAGTGACACCCAAGGGAACCAGCTCTGCTGGGGTTCGTGCCCTTGCTGAAAAAGCTGGTGACTGAGGCCTCTGTAGAGGAAGGAGACAGTAGTGGCAATGATCCTTGGTCCTGACAGACTGGGAGCTGGGTCTGTGGCTCTGTCATGAGCTGGGGGATGGTGAGACCTCTCTGCCAAGCTGCACACAGCTCAAAGATGGGGCCTGGGAGCACATGGGTGCCAGCAAAGGGCAGCCAGAGGGGTCTGAACCACCAGGCTGCACTGAGCACTGCAAACCATCACTGGCTGAGCATAACTTCAGGAGAAGAAAGGAACTGTGTTTTTGTTCTCACCATTGCAACCACCCTGCTTACACCCTGGGAGAAAGAGAATGTGAATGAGGTGGAGCTCAGTTACAACGTAAGGACATAGGCCCATGTCCTGGTGACACTGATTTTGAGAAAAAACAACAAATGCAAACTCAAATGCCAGCCTGGAGTTTGGCAATTTGGAATTTTCCTTTTTTATTTTACACATTCCCCTGATTCAGTAAAACAACTGTTTGGGAAGGCTGTTCAATGCCACAGACACTCATGGAAATGAACAGGGGGGGTTAGTTTATCACAAGTACCAAATAATTTCCACGCACACTGTCTCCTTCCAGCCCTGACCCACTTGGGAGCAGAGCAAATGAACTGGTCCCAGCACATCTCACAGCAACAAGATGTTTGCACAGGCCAAATGCCCTTAGCACCTACCCCCCTCCCCAGCTGCCAGGCACAGCTGCTTCTCAACATCAGCCAAACAGCTTAACCAGCAGGTTTTTAAAGTCGAGGTGCCATTTGGCAAGGGAAACACAATTTACTGCCTTGTTTTGCCTGCAAAAGCTCCCAAGCTACAAGCACTGGCTCCCTGGAAAGGTGGGTGCAGGCAGAACTACCACCAAACAACAGCAGACCAAAGGCCACTTCATGCAGTAACTCAGGCATTCAAAATTAACCACCACTAAACTAAAATAAAACCCATGATTAATGACAAGTGTTTTTTAGTAGGAAGACAAATGAGAGAACAGAAAATTAACCAGGCTAATTACAGCTCTGGATGTTGGCTGCAGGTAATGCAGGAGAAGGAAGAGAGGGAGGAAGAGAGCATCAGCTCTGCTGCACCCAGCAGTGACAGGGAGCAGAGCAATGTCCCCCAGTGTCACAGGTGATGGTGACACAGCTTTCATTAGGCAGCTTCATTTTCTTTAATGACAAACCTCCATTTGAAAAACAACTTAAAAGATTCACAACGGTTACAAGAGTTTCATTGCCTCACGATGTGGCTTTTTCCAGGCTGGATGGCAACTGACAATTTTCAGAGGTGGTGGTGGGGAAAAATATATATTAAAAAATTAAAAATCTGGGTGACTATTTTAGCCATCACTGGTCGGCACCCACAGACAACATAACATGCCAGCTTAACCCCTGCACAAAACCCGGGAGCCAGAACACAACTCGCACGCTAAAGCTGCTGCGGCCATTCGTGGGGAAAGCAGCATTATATTAGAAGGTGCAATTTTTCTTTCTTTCTCTCTTTTTTTTTTATTTTTTTCCCCTTTAATTCTCCCCAGCAGCAGTCCCAGCGGAAAGAGCGACTTTTGTTCCCAGCACAGTAGCGAGAGGCTGATAATGGCCTCTAATCTATCCGGCTTCAAACACATGTTCAGCCCCGCTGTGCTGCCTTTGATGTCATTTTAACTAGATTCCCCAATGCCACCTCTGAACTTGGAACATTCCTTCGTTCAATGTACTGTGCCAACTCAACCAGAGGAAGCAAATTCAAAGATAAGCACTTTAATTTTATCCCAACAAAACCTTATTCAATAGATGGGGGGGACAGCAAGGAAAACCAATACCGTACTTTTGTTTTCCTTTTGTCAGGTAGCTTGCTTTGAGATATTTTCAATAGATAGAAAAAGAAAATATCTATTAAAAAATAAAATTAAAACTTTTTAAAAGCACATCTACTTGAAAAAGAAAACTTCTCCAAACTGTTTTTTGCCTTATTCCATCCTGTGATTTTTCTCTAGCACCAGAAAGCTCCATGCTGAAATGCAAGGGAGGGGGGGAGCCAGAGTTTTTCTACCATTTATTTAATGATAATGCAACTGGTTTGCTACTGGGGAAACATTGGAGGCTTCCTCTCCTCTCCAAACCACCCTGCAAGAGCTTCTGGTGAGCAGGGAGGTTTTGCTGTGGCTCTGGAGTTGAACTCTCATAACACAGGCTGTCTTTTCTCCTCCACAGTCTCCAAACCCAACCATTAAGCCTAACAAGTTGGAAATCATCACGGAGGATCTTTTAAATTAAAAAGCTGTTAAACTTGTTTAAATACAGCAGAACCCAAGGTCATTCTGGATCACTGGCAGTAGGAAAGACAGGAAACAAATCCACAGTGAAGCTGATATTTTCTACCAATTACTCTTATCAAAGCAGCACCGTCACCGAGAGACCTTTCTCACATAAAGAAGCACGTTGGGAAAATTGCCAGGAATTTTGGCCAAAGGCCAGTCATCCAAGGAATAATATTTAATCTGCAAGGTTTTTTGAAGGAGTAACCACTGTCCTAAATCCCTTCACTCTGGGAAATGGTCATCCTTACTCTAGGGCAGGTTTGACTGGAATTGGGGGAAGAGCAAGCATCCCTCCAGGCTTCCCAGGGGAAGCAAAGCTCATCTCCCAACCAAGATAAGTCAGGACACA